TCTTGTTCGGCCAAATATACGTACATAGCCTCAGAAATCGAATTGTAGGTGTCATTGTTTTGCATATTCTACAACACGTACAAATGATGCATGAATCAGATGACTACTAAATTTCTTCGATTTCTTTACCGGTGAAGTTTGTTTAAATGGACTAACCTAGATGCTTTGCCATTTTTATCATGCTCTTTACTCTGGTCATGCTCTAACCTGGCTTTTCCCTTGCATTTGTGTGCATGTGTGCGTGACTTTTTCAATTTCTACTTTTTTTGCAAGAGAAAAAGAGAAACTAAACGATGCATTATGCTGTAAGAATCACCAATAAAAACTTAACTTACTGTGCCAACTTCGAGTTAAACATCACATTCAAAATTTCGAGTAATTTTCTAAGCAAAATGGTTACAATGCTTTTTCTCCAAATTTTGCAATATGCAGACAGAACAGAAACAGTGGCATCACTCACTATAGACAAATCCACAGGTACATTGACTCTTGTGGTATTTAATTCACAATATCTTCCGTGGCATACTGATGCTTAAGAAATGGCCAATACTAAGTTGCCTTGCAACTTAGCATAGCTCTTTAATGTTCCCTCCAATTTGTACATGTTATTTGATCTGCAGAAAAGAAATATGTTCATGTGAAAGAAATGGGTACAGGACATATTGCAAGTACCTGAATGTGAAGAAAGTACTAAACGAACTGCATCATGCATACATACCACTTCAAAGGGATTGATCTGTTCTGTTCTGAACATGGTGAAGCAAAAAGGTTTCTCTGAACTTATTGCAGAATCTCAACTCTGGTTCTTATTGACAGGTTAGCTCTTGAAATCGAGTTTGGTGACAGATGGGGGAGTGCGATGGGAAAAGAGAACAGGCAGCTTATTAATCTGTTACCAGAGCAGGTGTCTGGTGTTCAGGACTTTGTGTGGAAGAACCACTATGCTTAACAATCTTAGCCAGAAACATCTTTAATGGAACCACACATAAATTGACTTCTCCTTCCGAACATCCAGGATAACAACCAAAAAAAGACAAACCATGCGCATCCAAGAAAATTATGACAAAAGTTTCCTGTAGTGATAGATTCCCTCCACCGTATGCAAATTGAACAAAGTTTGAACAACAGGATATACAACTCACATGACCCTCCCCGTAAGGATTCAAAGGTAAACTAATGAACAGTGTAACTTATAGCTGCAAGAAAATAAGACTGTAATCATAAATAGAAATCACAAGCTCCTTCACACAACAATAAACCAAGTCTCCACTAGTGATATAGTCTAAGACGTATAGAAAATACATAACAAAGTTCAGACCCAACCGATAAACATAAAATTCAGGACACGATTCTCATCTCTAAGGAAACCCATTTGCATCAAGAACAGATTGACAAGATCACATAATCAGAGGATCCCAACAAAAAAAGCAATTGCAAAGATGGCAAACCCTGCAAAATATCATTACTGACCAATGCACTTAGGGTTGGGTGTGGGTGGTGGTGACACTAGAGAGGAGCATCCAAATTAACCATTGTATTTAATTTTCCTGAACTATCAACAGCATATGGCGAACAGAAGTAAACTCTTCAAATGAATTATAGTATGTGATCAAGTGGGAAAATGCTGGGGGATGACAGACCAACTTGTAAGGAAAGGTAAATAATTTAGATGTCACAATTTGGACAACCAACTAAAGGAACACTCGTGCTATTCTCAAGAAATAAAAACTGCAGTACCCATACTACAATTCTTGATGTAGAAGTCTATGGTGCCGTTTACAAGCTGCACAGAACAAAACATCAAAGATATAAATGCAAAAACATGCTTAATTAAGGCAATATAACGAGGGCTCCACAGACATTAAAAATTCAAAACTTGCCATAAAGATGACAAAGCATACGAGGAGGGGGAGCAAATAAGAAAACGAGAAAAGCAAGAAGAATGTAAGAAAGACTAATTTTTCCTGTATAGCTCTCAAACTAGTTTCAAAATAACAACCAAGCATGTACAAGTTCCAAATCTCCCCTTTTTGGTCACCTGCATGTGAGGGAAGTACCACCATCGCATGAAATTAAAAACATATGTTAGTTGCAATTGCAAAGCAACTAATTTTCAAGCTCAACAGTCATTCTGAGATTATGCAGGAAGAATTGAATCTGTTCGATATACCTGCACTACAAATTATACTGTGCTGACATATTGCATAACTGCAACATACAAGGTGCATCTTTGTTTCTGTTTCTTTTATGGAGTTTTGCTCCACAAAAAACAAGCTAATCTAAACCCCACACGACTAGAACAGAGTCCATAACCTTATCTAATACATCTTGAAACATGCCACTCACCCTCAACAACAACAACAAAAAATGTGCCAAACTGAAATGATGCTTATTTCCAAATCTTATGGATTTACCTGGAAGGGCAGAACAGAAAAAATAAAGGCTGCCAAAAATAGGATGAATTCCAATATGATGACTTAACCAAAGAAATAATTTGAATAGAATGCCAAGCAGAGAAGCATAACTAATATCCAGTATCATTCTAGTACATCACAATTTGTATCAAACAAGTCATTAACATAGAAACAAGAAACAAACCAAACATATCAGGGAGAAAGGTAGAAACAACTCCGACTTCATTAAACTTGTGAAGTTTCCTTCAAAACTAGTCATTACTGTCTTTGTTCAATCAGAAATATAAGACTGAACCAAAGTTCTCTAAAAAGTAAAAAAAAAAAAAAGGTTCCATGGTAATTCTTTAGCATTATAACCTGATCCAACTGTGTTGGATAGCATTTTGTAAATGCTTACTGTTGGGAGAAATCAGAAAAATAATTTCTTACCAACCAAGGCTGAAACGCCTGAACTAACTTTCAAGCAAAAAAGAAGATAAGAACTTTATATCTATCGGCTTCCCAGAGAAAAAAAGCTCTCAGTATAAAGCCGTAACCATGTCCATTCTCCAGCAATTAGGTTGTCCATCCTTTTGAAGCTTTTGTTCTCCAAGTTGTAACAGTTGAGACTCTCTTGCTTAATGTCAATCAGAATTTCTCCATCCCACTGATCCAAAGGAAGGATGAATTCCAGCAACTCCTTGCCAAAGCCATTCAGATCAATACTATACTCCTTAACCCATTCATGGCTCATGCAATCCTTCAACACCCATATGTCCATAATAAAAGGTCGCGATGCACTATCAACCAAACATAACAACCCCCTCAACTCCACCAATGACCAAACAGCCCTAGGATCAAAACACCCTTCCGGTGGTGAAACCGTCCCAAACTCTTCCTTGTCCAAATCGAAGGACACAATAGCTTCATAACCCGGATGGTCATACGGTTCCCAAATCATCCAATAAAACACATTCTCAACCAAAACCCCCCATCCTCTCACCACGTAAGGGCAACAGGAGTCGACCACCTTCCAAGAGCAATTAGCAGCACAACCACCATCAGTCAGCCTCATAATCTCACACCCAAAATCAGAATCACCACTAAGATCCAAACTCCTGTCAAACAGATGAATCAAGACGTACTCATTTCTGGAGGAAATGTAGCCCAAACCAGCATTAACTTCCCTGGAAGTACAACAACTGGACTCGGGCAATTTGACAAATTCTTGGGTACTAGGGTTGCAAACATAAAAGCTATTTTCAGCAGCAAAGCATAGCAAATCCGATTTGGAAGGCAGCAAATCAAGGATATTATCATCAACATCAATCTTAAACTGATCAAGAAAGTGATTTCCATCAAAACCCAACGAAAGGACCTCAACAACATGGGCATGGGGGGTTTTGTTTTGTATTCCGGCGGAGGATTGGGCATGATCATCATCATCATCATGCAGATTGGGAGCAGCTTTATTAAAATTACGAACCAAGAGTAAATTAGGGTAGTGAAGAGATCTGTTGCGACAAATGACAAGGAAATAGGCGTCAGTGATGATAGAGAGCCATCGTTTGGAAACAGACTTGAACTTACCAAGAGCCTTCACCGAAAGCCTCGAAAGGATGTTGAATATCAGATCCGGAGGAAGACTACTAGTCTCATAGCCAACACCTGTGCCTGTGCCTGTGCCTGTGCCTGTGGCCACCAAAAAAGAAGCCATCGCTGCTGCTGTTGTTGAATATAAAGAGAAGATACCGATACATTTGATGACTTCTTCTTCTTCATCTCCTTTTGAGTTCCTTCCGTATTTGCACCACGTGACGCGTTTTCTTCCGTTTCTCTCTCTTTTCCTACAATTAGATCTCAAATCAATTTGCTCATTTAAACAAGTACTTTCAAAATCACGTTTAGGTTTACAACATATAATCTAATTAATTGAAAACTCTATAAATAAATTAGGGCAAAAGGAGTACTTTTACTCCAGAATTCATGCATGAATTTATTAACAAAATTGGATATTTCGTAAACGCCTTTATCGATATTAAAGTAAGTTATTTTTTTACTATGTTCCTAAAAAATTATTTTAAATGAAACAAGTAGCTCTGATCATCTGACCATGTTTGTTTGGGAATTTTGAATTCTCTCTCTGCGCACGATATTCAATAAATTTTCTTTCAATCATTACTTTTATTTCTTTCTCCACTCATTATCTAAAATCCAAATACCAAAATAAACATTGTTTTATGACCCGAAACCAATCTCAAAGCAATATATATGCGGGATATGTACCTCTTTGTAATGTACTCATATTCTTTTCCATGTGCAAATGAATCAAGAATTTTTTATTGTTCACTTTTACTTCACTTGGATCTTATCAATGGCCCACTAAACGATTGTTAGGATGATCCATTTATCAATTTTTTTAATCTTAGGAAGAAAACAAAAAGCAAATCAAATTAAGCGGTTATCGCCTATCAAATTAGTCCGTGATGCTACGACGATGATAATGATTCGGTCCTAAACTGAAGAGGGAGATATATACTCGTTACATTAGAGACTTTCACTGGCAGTAGGAACTCTCCTCATTCATTTGGCTGATGGGCAAAAGCAAATATCCAATTGGATTTGAACCAATGACTCCCGCCGTATGAAAGCAATTCTCTAACCACTGAGTTAAGTAAGTCATTTCTCATCCCAAAGAGAACCAAATGAAACAGGACCCATCTACTAATTTTGGAAAGGCATTCATCTGTCACATTAATATCTTTTTAAGTCGGATGTTTCTTATGTATGAAACTCATTTTATGAACTTTTCACTAAATTTCTGTAGTTCTAACGTTCAGTAACCCAACACGATGAAGAAAGTTTAGTGAAAAGACCTCTCCAGATTTTGAGTAGTAATTATTTTTCGGTTTAAGAGTTGTGAGCAAGTGAAACTGTGCAATACTTCCACCGAAAAAATGAAAAACTGTTGACTACCACTCCCACTGGAAACAGCTCTGCGTGAAGGGAAAAAAAGCCCCAATATTACAATGAACAACTTTCGTCCCCACTTCCCATAAAAATATAAGTTACCATCATGATACAGATTTCCTCTTCCTCTCTCTCTCTCTCTCTCTCTCTCTCTCTCTCTCTCCTACGATTTCTTTTATAGTTACAACACCCGATTCTTGGCTTTATGTTTTGCTAACATGATCTGGCAACTTCTCTACACTGCTAGAGGGAGGCCATCGTTTCTATAAATGACAACGCCATCATTTGAGGAACTTATTAGGGTGTAATTGGGACTTGAACTAAGCATCATTGTCAGGGGAGAGTACCAAAATAATTGAAGAATAACTAAGCATGGGGTACAGATTGGCATCAAGAAAATGTGCATATTGTTTGATTGCCGTGTCTCTTTCGGGGAGGTCATCCGTTAGGAAATCGAATGGTGCAGGTTTGCTGGTGTCCACCAACGGCTCCCACCTGTAACCGGGCCGTTCTGGCAATGAAATGGTGACGGGTAAATGGCTGGTGTTGAAGGCAATGTATAGAGCTCCCTTCACAGAGTCGATCTGCATTTTCGTATTTGCACAGAAGGTCAATTCAAGGGAGATCTTCATTCTTCAACAGAAATCCAACTAGGTTAACACTGAATCTTTACTTTTTATTTTCGGCTTGCAAAATCTCAAAATAGCTTTAAAAAGTGGAAAATGCCTCCACCAATGAGTGAAACTATTTAATGAAAAGCAAGTATTCAAGCTGTTGAATCAAATCAAAACATGAAGACTTCAACTTATTTGAGGCAATGCTGTCAAGTGTGCTTATTAATACCTAAATGATAATGTGCAAACCATAGAAACGTGGACCCAAATAAACAAGAGCAGTGAAATGATTATGCAAAGGAAATTCAGTGCAATGAGATACCAGTGTAAATGCCACAAACCGGCTTGCTTCAGACCAATCAGGCATCCCAGGAGAATGACCATGCCACTGTAACCTCTCTGCTGTTGGGAAGTCATTCAAGCCAAGTGACTCACTTTCACTGTTAATGATCTTAGCACATTAGGGAGCTGAAAAAGTTCCATCAGAAGGGAAAAGCGCAAGGACAAAGCTATCAGGAAAGGGAGGTTACCGGCGGAGCTGTGTCATAAGGCAGCAAAATCTGAAGAAGTCAGGCGAGGCCTCTTCTTTCTTATCCCATCGAAAGTAGTTAATCTGCATGCAAAGATGAATTAGCAAACAGAATCAACAATGGGAACAGGTGTTTAGAAAAGAAGAGCAAGGAGTAGGTTACATAGTTATCATGGCAATATGTGTTATTGTTCCCCCCTTTCGTGTGACCGTATTCATCACCCATATATATCATAGGGACGCCCTGATAAGAAAAAATAGTAAGTCAGAAAAGAAACATATAGTACCAAAACACGAGGATACTCCTAACCTACGCAGAACAACTCAGCAAAAATAATAAACCTAATAAGCAGAAGATCCACAAAAGTCAACCTGAGTAAGAACATTATTAGGAGGATTAACTGTGAATTTACAAAAGCTGCTAATAGAGGCATCAACACTAAATGATGTGAGCAGGTTGGGTTACTAAGCTGAGGAGGGCTTGCAAAAGATGAGGAACAAAACCAAGTCGTGAACTGAGAACCGAAGTCTTGAACTGATTCGAATCCTGGAATTCTCACTGGGTTTGACTTCTTACATGGGATTGATAAAAGTTACAATGAATAAAAAGATTGGTCCTTTAACTTCTTTCTTTTCTTTCATCTGAAAAGATCATGTCAGTAACTGTTCAATGAACAATAACAGAACACAAATTTGATTCTCCCTTTTTCGCATACATAGTGTGAGGGTAAGACGCTTTTATTGCCTATTTATGCTGTTGACTTTCTTTCAATCTTAATAAGATTGTTGCATTAATGACGCTTTGCGAAAGATGCCAATGCAAAGCACCTAAGTTTTCTATGGGCAAAGCTTCCAGCAAAATTCACTAGGTAGAAGGGAAAAATAAAGAAGAAAAGGCAAAACAAGATAAAGATCTGAACGCGAGCATATGCAAGCCATGAAGAGCATAAGGGATCACAACAAAACTACAAAAATGGTCTAATAGAAAGCCAAGGAAAGAAGAAAAGGAAGAGAAGCCCCTGGCCCTGGTATTTACTAAGGTGTACATTTATAGAAGTACCAGCATATTGCGTTGGAGAAGGGAAACAGATAGCATTGGGTGTCGCCGCAACTCGCATGTGCGGATGGGAATCAGGATGGAAAATTTGAGGTGCATGGCCCACAAGAACTACATCACTAAAGTGGAGCCCATTATGGAACCTGTTTCTTAAAAAATAAAACTCAAAATAAGAAAGCAATAAAATTCCCGAGGGTACCATTTTCTGTTGCTTACCGAAAACAATAACTATTGCCGCTAATTAATGATGAAATAACAATGCCAATAGTTTACATCCAGAAATTTCAACCATTATATATCAAAAAATATCATCCTTTCGTTTTGCTGATGTGGACTTTTTGAGTCGCCCAATTAAGTAATACTCCAGTATTTCACTTGAAGGGAGCCTTAAAGAAATAAGTGAATCAAGTCCATCTCCACAATAAGACGCTAGCGGGAGCTTTTCTGGTCATCTTTTGGCTAGCTGTGGCTAGCTGTGGATAAGGAGGCTTCAGAGCTTGGTGAGCCAGGGAGATTGTGCGTGTTGGGATATTAGCTTAGGAGGATATTAGCTTAGGAGGCCACTGGAAGATTGGTAGTTGGTCAACTTTTAGGGACTTGCCCTTATTGGATGGCCTTGAGCGGGTTGGAGTAAGGAAACGCAATACCAGATGGAGGGGGTAGAGGGAGTGGTAGATTCGACATCTCATCCTTTCCCCAGACTTTGATGGGCAGCTCATGAAGAGAGTTTCCATGGAGGAGCATATGATCAAAATGGGCCTACATTAAGATTACCTTTCTCATGTGGGTAGCCGGCTCACCAAACTCAGGAAGATCTTATCAATTGAGAATCATACCCAGACGCGGAAGTTTCAAGTTAACAGGTGTTCAGGGATAAAAGTGATGGGAAGTTTAAATCCCATCTTTTCATCCGCTTTTCAATGTTTTTTTAGTTGCTTTTCGCGTTGTTTGGGTTCAAGAAGATGGAGCAAGGGTGTGCTGGGCAGCTTGGGCTGAGAGGCAGAGGAGGAAGACTTGGCAGCTTGCCCCGTTATGTGCCCTGTTTTTTTTTAAATCCTCTGTTATGTGCCCTGTTGTATACGCATATTACTCCATTTGTGGTCGGATCTCTGACTTGCCAAAATGAAACTTATTATTTTTTTCAATAGAAGTTCCAGTGATATACAACAATAACAGAAACTTGTGCATGTCACATTATTTATTAGGAAGCAATTGCAGAATTATCAACTAAGATGGTTTTAAGACTTGAAAAAAGTAGGGAAAAAACAAGCAACTAATCATTTATGAACTGGCTTAAAGGGATGCTAATAAGTCCTTCGGGAGAGTAACAGCTGCTAGCAAACATAATGAATAAAATCTTACTTGGGATACCATAAGGCAGAGGAAGAAATTCCGCATTTGTCGCTTCCTCAATTTCTTTACAGAGATGCTGGCGAACTCTCCCTCCTAGTAATCACTAGATCAATCAGAAAAATGTACCAGTTGAACTCTGAATCCCGTTTGAGAATCTTTAGTCCATACTTAGAAATTATGCCTGGGAACTCCAACTGAATCAACTTTCAGAATGTTTCATCAATTCTTACTTGGTGGCTGCCTATTAATTGTCAAATCTTTGAAGCGTATCTAGGCGTCGGATCCATCAAACCTCTAATTGAAGGTTGTGTGGATTTTCCCTATGCGTATAAAATGGTATTTTTATCCACAAGAGTGCTGCAATGGGGAAAAAAAATTACAAGAGTGCCCAAAACTACAAATGCAACAACATATGAACATAATCCTACTTGTGCACAATCTGTGAGGTCAGTAGTATCGATTATCAAACGCATTCTACACCTTTGTCCGGGTGTCCGAGCGTGACACTTCATTTACTTTGAAGATTCTGTGTTTACATAGGGAGCTACTAACATGAATACCCTTCTCTATGCTATTAAACAACCTTAATTTAATACTTAAAGTATCCACTACATCCTTTACAGCACATTTCGATTAAATACCCTGAGTAATACATTTAACTCTAGGGTTTCTACTCCATCCTAGTGTTTCTACTTGCAAACGAATATCAAATACGAATACACATATATGACATTTATTGTGTGACTTGATATATAGCCACCGAGTTCTTTTTATAAAATAGGACAATAAAATGAAAAATGAATAAAGAAAACACCCACGCATACCTATTAAAATTTACCTGTCCGCAATTCCAGCTATTGTTATGGTTCTCGCCATCATTGTTGTCTTCACCATTGGCCAAGTTATGTTTGTCGTTATACATCACTAAATCCGCCAGAGTAAAACCATCATGTGCGCATACAAAATTTATACTGTTCCATGGTTTCCTTCCGCCTACCTAGCATATTAGCGGAAATAAGCAATTCCAATAAGAAAGACTACAGAAAGAAGTACAACAGAAAATACCTTAAAGCACAGAATTCCAGATATAATATCGAACTCGAAAACAGAGAGAGCCCCAGAGAACATTTTGTTGAGTTAAAAATAAAGAGAGAACA